TGAGCCAGTTGGTGTCTCAACTTCCAAAACATCCTATGGACAAGAGTTCCAATGCTAAATTCTTCATTATATGGAAAAAAACAAGAAACAAAAACCTGTTTTTTTCATACGTGGCACCTGATTTCCAGCGTGCATCCTAGTAAGTGAAAATGGGAAAGTTCCCTATTCTATTTCCCATACCATTCAATATTCTATGTACTTGTCATATGCCTTCATTCCTGTCAGCTCTTTTCATAAGTGAAGATTTCATTTCTTCTCATAAAGAACCTGCTACATCCCTTTCATCATCACTATTATCCTTCCCTGTACTACTTCTAGATCTGCTATAACCTTTGAGAGATACGCAGAAGTACCACAGCTGTATACTCTAACATAATGATATTTGCTGATTTATTTCCTATTTCTCTTTTGAAATCATTTTTAAATCTGCCTCACTAGACACAAGTCTACAAGTGCTGACAATAATCTGCCTCATACTCAAAGCAAATTCCTGATGTTAAATGTCAGAGTTTGCTACCTCAAGACAGCAATTTCCAAGCTGAGGTGGCAAAACAATCAGCAGCTAGCTACTTATTTGAAGCTAGTTCTTCCTCATGTCTATCTGCTCAGCAGTATCAAAAGATAAGTGAAGATATTCATTAAACATATTCTTCACCTGAAATACCTCACATGAGCAATTGCTTTAATTACTAAAGTGATGAAAAATAATTACAGAGGAAAATTCTGCAATCTCAGACTAGGCGAGAAATACCCAAGGGAAAGTCATCATTATAACATCACGCATGTGTTACAAAAGTCAGCTGAGGAACCCTTGGTGCCGTTGGCTCCCTTCTTTCCAAACCCTTGCTAGATGTATGGGGCACAGCCAGATGACGGAGCAACTTCCCTGTCTTGCTTCTGAACACGATACGTAGGGGCCCCCCACTACAGATGTGTCTCCTTTAAGAAATCAGAAAGTCAATATCCCTTTATGGTAGAGCAGATGAGTTAAATATGTTTCAGTACAGCACATCAAGAAGCCGAGAGACACGATGCTTTGTAATTAAATAATGCTTTATATTGGTTCATGACAACGCAACACCAAGGCGACAGCACCTGCCATTTTCATGTGAAGTAATTTACATAAACTTATTCCTCTACTTATATACCTCCAGCTGCATTCTATAATTTATACAGACACACAAATTCTTCCCTCTGACATTAACAAGAGAAATGAGTTGAATAATCAGCTCACAGTATTAAGTGCATTGCATTTACTATCAAGCAAGCTTTTTTAGTTCAGCAGATGATTAATTTCCCTTCGTGGGTAGAGTACCAGGAGATGCAGAGAGCTGACAATTGCTCTCGGCTTCTAGCCATGCACTCCATACGCTTACCTTGCAACAACAGCATTTGCTGGATCCCTCCAAGAGCTGCTCTAATTCATTAACCCAGCAAAAGAATTGGACAGCTTTCTGCCAGGTCAGTGAATTAAAGTGGCTCACGTAAGGAATGCCAGAGCCAGTAAATAGGAGTGGGAGTTTGTGCTTGGAGCCAGATCTCTCCTTTCTGACAGCAGTGAATCTTTAGATCAGTTCAGCTGCCAGAGGTACTGCAGCCTAATTAGCATCTCCACTTGCAGCTATCTGTGCTGGGTGTCTCCATTAGGGATAAGTGCACTAAATGTAAACCAAGAAGGGGGAAGGGGAAAGAAACCAGGCAACCCAGCACCGTAAGAAATGAAAAGCAGAGCATCAACGGTTTAAGAGACAGGCTGCAACAGGCAGACCAAGTAGGCCAAATATGGTCTGGTACCTCAGTCTATTTTTAATCCAGGTCTTTCAGCTGTGCTTTGGGACAGTATCAAGAGAAAGGACAGATGCTTGGAGATGAAGACTGGGAGACCCACATGCCAGGCATGAAACAAAGCCCTACAGATGAGGCTTGATCCTAAAATAAAAAAAGATTCCAAAATACTATGCTGTTTGTATTACACCACCTATTGTGCCAATTTCTTTTCCATGCTCCTGCTCTGAGAGCTTTGAATGCTTTCCACTACACTCAGACCTCCAGAACCAAGCTCATCCTTAGCTGATGACACCAATCAGCCATTCCCCTTTGCTCAGGGCTTTTAGACTGCGTAGGAAGGCATGGACTTTGACTCTCAAAGTTTATCTTACTTAAGTTCACTACTGATGTTTGACCTCAGGCTTCCAGACCACTGTCTGTTAACTCAGACACCACCGCTAATCTCAAATCATTCAATCTGACTTGCCTGCCAGAATCTGCCAAGTTTCTATGAAAAGGTGCTCCCACCTAGTGTGTTAGAGATCCCATTACATTGCTGCATAACATCTTACCAATCAGACGAAACTCCTGTTTCCACGAGGAACCTTTAAGCCACCCCATGTTCTCCATTACTTTTGCAATTATCCTAAAGGCTACTAACCTGAAAAGCAGGAAAGCCCCGCCATCTGAGCACACCTTTTGCTACCTCGCTCTGTCCTGCCAACTGGACCAAGCACAGGCCTTGTTCTTAAAAGCGAGGAGAGAACTTATCTGTCTGGCTGAAAGAACTTCTGAATCATCCCATGGGAGCACATGCTTCAAAGTCAGCAGCTAAAAAATCCACCGGCTGTTTGGTCTGGGGTATCACCTTCACACACATGACAGCAGCTGCACTTGTCAGTCACAATAATGGGAGGGAAGGATCATACATCACCCGCAACAACTTTTTGCTCTATTAAAGTTAGCACTGTTGTTTGAGCAAGACGACAAAACAGTGAAAGGAAAAGATGCCTTAAAGCATAGCAGTCTAGTCCACATGGACTGAACATGTATGTCAAACAAGTAATAACCAGTGTATGTGATAGACAAGATGCTTGACGTTAGCTGTAGGGATTCAAGGTAAAATAACCAACCTGTTCTGCTGTATTTTAATAGCATGCTTTAGCTTGAGTAACTACTGAGCCTTCTTCCTTCCTCTAGTTCCTACATAATTAATCAGCGTACTGAGGAGAAAAGTTACAGCAATTATATCCCAAGGCAGCCCACAGAATCAAAATAACTTCATACAGAAGGAGTCCTAGACAGAAGGATAAAGGGACTCAGAAAATCCAGGACCCCGTGCATGTGAAAGCCTGGCATGTGAAAGGCCCTTGGCTGAGGTGCCTTCCCCCTCCCCCTGGATTTCTTCATGTGCCACCATCTGGGATCCTCTGGGTTTGATCAGTCCCAGCCATAGCAGCAGCAGCAACGCACTCATCTGCGCCCTTACCCTTTCCCGGCTAGCTACAGTCTGTGAGCCTAACTCTGCACGCTCAGCTTGCACATCTTTAACCACGTCAAATGGTCAGACCAGACGCGCCCACCTGTTTCCAACAGCCAGTACAAGTGTTACGTGTTATTCAGCCTGTTTCTCAGATAACCCCTGCCAGTCAGGCTCCCTCCGCAGCCTCCTGGCAACACCGCTGCCTCCCAGCAGTCTCCCAGCAACGCTCCCTCCTGCACAGATGGGCTCCCAGTCCCTCTTCGCAGGCTAGCCAGCCTCCCCGCATGCTGTGGGCTCCTTGGAGCCGGCATTAGTTGATGAAACACAGAGCTCGGCCCTGCAGCGCCACGGAGATGGCTCCTAATATGGAAGAGGAGCAGGGGGGTTGGCAAGAGCTTACATCCAAGGTCAAGGCTCACATCATTTCCATTAAAAAGAAACACTCCTAAGCTCTGGGCAAGGATGGGAACAGCAAAAATACGTGGGGAAAACCACTGCCCTGTTTTATTCCTCGTTTCCAGCTTTCCCATCCAACTGGCAGTGCTCGAGATAGCTGTTTGCTGGAGACAGGCAGCCCAGATCTTACAGGTTGGAATGACATTGGACAATCTGGTACTAAAATGATGACTTGCATTTCTGCACACTGCACCAACTCTAAGTTTTATTTCCAGCCTGATCTCTTCTCATCTACATTTGTGTTTGCTGGAGTAAGGCACCTGAAGTTCCTTTTATGCACTATCAATGTGCTTTACAGGATATGTACTCTTTTTCTTCTTCAAGATGCTGAAGTTGCAGCGTTCCCAGGACAAACTCAAAGATATCTTACCAAAGTTATAACCAGCAGTGTCAACTGTGCAGCCACTGCCAGTGTAGAAGGAGCAGAGGTGCACGCCGGGAACCATGCACACTCGAGCTGGCACTATCAGTTCTACCAATCACTGGCCCTGAATTCACTCAGTACTTACAGGGGGAAAAATAATCTCTACAAGCCAAACACCCAACTACAAGTAAAATTGAAAGTATTAACAGATTAAATCCACCCCTGAGCACTGAAGGCTCTTCACCATAAGGCTCTTTATTAGGAAGTTAAGTCTTAACAAGTGGCTTAAGGGGTGGATAAAGCTTTTCCTGGGATAATCTGCCAGCATGTTGCCCGGTGCCAATTCCAGGCCATGGGAAGAAGAAAGCAAAAAAATATAAGAAGGTGAAAATTTTTGTTTGGCAAATGGATGCCCAGTAGCTGAGAGGTCCTCTCCTATCTTTTCCCCCTGAAGCTCTCTGCCATCTTCAGAAAGTCAAAGAAAAGTATTTTTCTACTCTGCTAGCTTCCTGAAAACACACACACATTGGGATTACACCTACAATGCATGTGCTCACCCTAATCCTTTGTACCATCAACCTTCCAGAATTTGCCTCCATCACATTCATTTGAACTGTTCGCCAATTAACACAAGGTAATTAACACTTTTGTAAATGACTATCATCGGACAATGCCACCATGGTAAAAACACCATGAACCCAAGTACTACTGCTCTTTGCAGACACCTATTTATGAGGAGAACATGCACAAGGGGAAAGACAGGAACCTAGTGATGGAAGGTCAGAAGCTATGCTTTGTTTACAATTTTCTCCTTTTCAAGTCTACCACTGATTTACTGCATACTTAAGAAACAGCCAGCAATCTAATCAATGGCTGCTTTTTCCCAAAGCACTGTGCTGCCCTCCTGGCTCTGCACCCTTCTGCACTTACTGCAAGAGATCCGTTCTGCGTGCTGGCCGTGTTCGTGCTCTGCTCTCCATGTGGCTGCGTGCTTCCGTAGAGCGTCAGATTGTGCTCGCTGGTCTGGCCTGCATAGTCCTGAGTGTGTGGCACCCCATACTCTGTGGGAATTCCATTCTGTGGGGGTGGCGGAAATGGGATTGTGGTGAATGGCTGCACCATTGCATCAGGAGTTGCTGCTGGCTCCTGGTTACCCTGAAGAAAGGGAAAAGGAGAAAACAGCTTTATACTACAGAAGATGGATCAGAACATCAGCCTGAGAAACAATATACACACACGTGTTCATGTGAATATCCCACTCACCACCACCACAATATTGCACAGTCTTCTATTAACTTCTCTATTAAAAAGAGCATGCCTCACTCCTCTGAACCATGACACTGTTTCCTTAATCTTTTTGGGAAACTTTCTCGCTACCAGGTGGCACATGGAGAACAAATTATGGGGCTTGCAAATTGCATACCCCTGTAATCTCACACAAGGCTTTACGCCCAGTAAGGCATTATTTTGGAAGGAGAAAGAGGCACTGAAACATTGGAATGGAGAAGGAAACACAGACAAAAGAACAGGGTTCTTTAATATGCCTAGAAGTACCATATCTGGGTCCATCTCCTCCAGCCTGACCCCCATAGCTCTGCTCACAAGCAAGCATATCGTGTGGTTCAGAGCACACTCTTCTCTGTTGTGTTACAATGAGAGAAAAGAAGTACTCATTTTAAAACTGATCTGTGCAGCAGCCCCCTCCTTTGCTCTGGCAGCACTGAGTACAGAGCACGGGTGCTCAGGTACTAGTCGCTGGAGTATCCCATTTGCTTTGCGCTGACTGTGCAGAAGACACCAAAGAGCTGTGGGACCTGAGTTGAGAACACAAGCCTGGAGCATGCTCAGTCTCTCCCCAGTCCTGAGCATCACTACCATCACACAAGGTATTAGTTACCCACCCCTCTCTCAGCTTAGGGTATCCCACAGGGACTTCTATGCTAGGACAGTGGACTTTTTAGCAGCTTTTAGCACTGCCTTAGATGTGGTTGACACCAACCAAATGACTCAGAAACAGACAGTTGACCATGCAAAAGATACCCCCAAGAGACAGTAAAAAAACCAAACAAACAACCAAACTTACCCCACCATGCCTGAAAACCACCCGAAGCAAACACGAAAGCATGCAGCCCTGCAGCCACTGCAGGGATCTCACTGAGGAGGGAGCAGGGAGCTGCATTCAGCCACCTGGGGCAGAGGAGAACAGCCTTGACATTGAAACCCAACCCTGGGAAGCCTAGGCTGCTGCACCGCTCCTACTGCTTCCACCGCCGCAGCAGAAAAAAAAAATCCATGGAAAAGATTTATGATAGGAGGGCTGTTTGATTTATGTGCGTGACAACAGTCTAATCCTGATTTTAAATTTTGGCTGCTGTTCCAGCCCTGGGTCCTCCCCCACAAAGCCCAGAGGTGCTCGAGCCTATTCTGACACCAGCATGCTTAAATCAATGGAGTAAAGAGAAGCAGACCTTATCCTGTGGATAGGAAAGGCAGAGTAGGAATTACCAAGTAGCCTTTCAGTAGAGAACATGCATGTCCAGTGAAGCCGGACAAACCTTTCAGTCCCTTTATCAGCCTACCTGCAGCTTTCCCTTCTGGGCCAAGGAAACAATGATAAATGCAGCACACCTCCAGCCAGCACTGGGTCATTCAGACACTGGCTGAATCCCAAATTTGCTCTGACATTAGTCTATCTGGTCTGCCTCCCCTGGGGGCCACGTGGCCACGCGCTCCCGCAGCTGGGGAGAAGGAGAGGGAAGGGCATTCAATACCACTTAGCAGAGCTGCGCTGCAGCCTTGGACCATGCCGAACAACAGACAGTTTCATTAACTAAAGTCCAGCTGCTGCAAAGCCTTGCTGCCTGCAGAAACCCAAAACTCCGCAGCCTTATCTGAGAAAGAAAAATTCAGGCAAGCATGCCAGCCACGGCCAGTGCTTGGTTCCTTGCACACACTCCCCCGAGCTGTTGCAGCCCTGTGTCGCGTGCTAGCAGCTCTGCGGAGGTTTTTCACACACCAAGCACATTTTCTGAAAGCAGGACAGGGGGTTCCACCCACATCCCACCACCACCCCCCCACCAAAAGGAGGGCAGCTCCACCAGCCCTCCACTTCTGCTCACTCCTTTGCCATTCTCAGCTTCAAAGCAGGGAGCTTCTGACTTGACCTAAACCATCATCAAGATGTGCAGGGCGAGTTTTACAAACAGGAGGGAGGAGAGGCTGAACGATGGCTATCCCACTGCAAACCAGGTATCAGCAATCTCATAGCTCACCTACTCAAAGTATTTATCCCCTGTCACGACAGCTCCACTCCATCCACATACTGCCTCCTTTTCAAGCTCTTTTGCTTACAATATTTCATTATATCCAATTGTCTGTGTGCTTCCATACAGCCCATGTTGCCTGCCCATTTCTTGTGTTTAAAATAGGAGCTAAATGTGAAACTGATTTCTTTTTTTTTTTTTTTTAATTGGTAGGGTAACCCCTGGAAAGATGCAGTAGCAAAAACTATTTCCAATTTTCTTAGAACAACCTAGATTTACAAGCCAGTAGTACCCCAGACAGGAGGAAGAGAATGCTAATTAGCCACAAACAAAACCTATTCTGCCGTCCTCTCAACGGTGCAGGGCTGCTCCCCAAAGGACATACTCCAGCCTTTTGTTTAATCTCACTCTTAGATTACTTAAAATGCCAGCCCATAAACCTTATATAATTTTATTTTCAATGTTTTTACACTCAGTTAATACTGTTCCTTCCAGTTTAAACACATTTCAACCTTTAAAATATTTTCTCTCCCTTCTTCAATTGTCCACAAACGTTTGAAGGATGAAAAATGCTCTCCTCCTCTTCTGTTGCTTGTGGTGTTTTGATAATACTTACTTATTTTGAGCTTAACCACACCTCGCAAGCCAAAATATCCTGGTAACTTTATTACTTCTCTCTGACCTTCCTCACATTTTCAAATAAGGGATTTCTGGTGCAGAATGAAATGTTTTAATACCATTGTCACTCCCCCCCTCCCCCCCCAATCGCACTAATATGCAAAAATCCTTTTATTACAAATGTATCCTTAATTTAATGTCTCAGGTTATCTGTAGATCTATCACCATTATACTTGTCCAGGTTTCATCATCCCACTGAGTATCTGTATCTCAAATTATTTTTCTCTTGATATGATTATGTATACATTTCCCATCTGAATTTTTTTTTTATTTTAATTTCCTTTGATGCTTTAGAATTACTTTTCTTCTGTTTCCACTAATGTCTACAGAAAAGGACTCCCGATGAGATATCTGCAGGTTTCATGGCATGCTGATATCCTCCAAACCCAGAGGAGATTCTACCTCTTCTGTTATTCTACCAAATTTCAACATTTACACAACACTTCATATTTTCAAGAACTAACACAGAAAAAAAAAAAAAAAAAAAAAAACCCTTTTTTTTTAAACACACCTTTTCCCCCCTCTCAACCCAGGGAAAATCCTGCAGTCAGAGGTGCTGCTTTTCCCACTTCTGAGGAGGTACAATGAACATGGAGAAACCCCCAAACTTCCTGGTGAAGGTACGTACGTACATAGAAGGAGAGACTCAACTGAAAGTATTTTGTCTATCCAATCTTGACAACATACCTCACTGCATTGCCAGTCCTGCCTGTTTTAGCTCATGAAATTCTCTTAAACATTGACTCAAATGCAACAACAGACTGCAGTGGACATGTCCAAGAGTAGTCACCATCCCCAAACACATGCAAGGATGCCATCACAAGACTAGGAAAGTCCGGCTGGAGCTCCCCACAAAAACTACTGCTGTCTTCAACTTGTGTGTTGGCATGAAATAAGTCTTAACTAACGTTCAGGAGCAGACAGATTCTTCTCTCAGGCACAATGCAGGGTGGCTGCAGGAATAGTTTCGGCAGTTCCAGGTTAACCAATTCCCTCCATGAGTTTGCGCTGCCATGCACTGACCCACGTTAGCTGTCATCCCATGCTCACCAAACTGGGAAAGGCTGTTCAGTGCAACTGGAACTCAGCATAATTAAAACACACTCCTTAAAAAAAGGAAGAAACTTCAGTACAATATATAGTAACCTATAGTTCAAAGAAAACCAGCAATTCCTATGTTTTCTATTCATTCTGTTGCTCTGCTCCCACAGAAATCACTCAGCCGCATCAGGTAGGAATTCAAAGCAGCTCCCTTCTTGCAAAATGTTGACATCTGATTCATCAGCACCCAAGCCCTCAGGGCACAAGAGGGATATGGGATACCCATCTGAGCTCCCCTTTCAGGCCCCTATTCTCAGCCCTACAAAGGTCCAGCCATTCCTTGCAGGTGCCAACTTCCTTCCTTTAGGTCAGGGTTTTGCCTACACAGCTCAGTACAAACCCATCCCACATTTTGTTTAAAAAACAAATTAGCTAAACCAGTGAAAAATCCCTAATGGGGACACATTTCTAAGAGTTTACACAGCTTTAACTTAATTAACAAACTTTGTAGCTCCAAGCTAAGTGGAGGAACGGTAAGTAACCACACACAGCGGTACCTTGCAGAAGGCTGGGAGCTGGGGACCATGTCTCAACGAAGAGCAACGTGGTTCAGCAAATGCAACGTAGGATGAATTCTTTCAGCAGACAGCAGGTGGTGATCCAAGATCACGGCACTGGAGCGCCAAGAGCGAACACCAGAAATGCACACAAAGGCCTCCTACTTCCATAAAACTGTCAAAGATCAGTCTATTTTGTGAAGGGCTGGTTTTGTTTTGCTCATTAAACAGGTGTAATTATAGGGATATGAAAGGAGCCTTATAGCAATGCAGCTCCAGATCCCTTCTGTACTGGTACACCATAATACGCACAGATAGACATTTCCACGCAAACTGCCACAAGATAAACGGTCTGTGCTGTCCATAACCTTACTGCGAGTCATAAGCATCAGAGAAAGGTGCAGAGAAATGCTACAACATGTAAACATCAAATAATCTCTTAAATATGCCTTTCAACTCTGGTAACCCCCAAATCATTGGGATAGATGTGAGTATATGCCTATTAGCATAGCGGCATGGGGTTTCTAATAGGTATGCCTTTGTCGAATTCATTTTATGAAACCTTGAAGCAACTGACTTGCAGCTAATGGAAGGCAATTAACCTGTTTGTGAAGAC